TGAATTTCTAAAATATTGAGAAAAACATCAATACTGTCTGTGCATTTGTTCACCTGCTGAAGTGGAAACGTTGGTGTGTCAAAAAACTGAGAGTAAACTCCAGACCAGAGAAGAAGAAAAGATAAAAGAAGTAAATGAGTCCCAGGAGCCGCAGCTTCTTCATCTCTGTCAACACACAGCATCAGCATCATCATCTTTGACGTTGTTTTCATTAACTAGAATTGATAGCTGGAAAACAGCATGCTTCAACACAAACATGCTTCAAAAATGTAAACTTAAGTCAAACTCACGATCTTTTGGAGGAGGGGCTTCCGTTTTGGTCACAGCTGAGAAATTAAAGAGACTGAGTGGATTCAAGAGGCTGCTAGAGTCTGTGAAGATAGATGATGTAGTCTGGAAAGAAAAAAAAAATGAACCAACAACACATTTTAGAAATAAAGATCCATAACATAATACACAAAAACAACTTTTTCAGACCATAAGGCACACCGGGTTATAAGGCGCATTAAGCGTCTGAGTGTGTTTTTCCTGTATCGATAAAAAAAGGAGAAATAAGTTCTTGACCACGAAAAAAAACGACAGCCATGCGTCTGACTCGTTCTGCATCGCACCATACATCGACAATTCAAAAACACAAGTCAGAGTCTCTGCGTTATTGGAGGCACGACGCGACGTTGCACGGATTTGGGTTAAACAACCATACTGTAATAATAGTTGATGAACATCTTCTAATTGTGGGCTCCCAGTTGGTTTGACTTTATAAAATCAGTTCGAGCTCAGTAAGCACAACCAGAAGTAATACATAAGGCGCACCAGGTTATAAGGCACACTGTCAATTGCGCCTTATAGTGCGGAACATATGGTAATAACATCCATCCATCCATCCATTTTCATCCGCTTATCCGTTACCGGGTCGCGGGGGTAGCAGTCGCCACCCAAATCACACTGCACCGTACCAACCCCCCAAACCTTCCTGCGGGTGGTGAGTCCACTGGAAGGTACCAACCGCCCTAACCGGGATTCGAACTTGCCCAGGAGGTGAACCCTGGGGTTCCACACCAATGACAGAGACATTGCCTCTGGGCCAAAGCGCCACATGGTAATAACACTAATAATAAAATAAAATTCTAGAAATGACATCACTTTTTGTCATATTGCCATGTTCTCTGAGATCTACATCTTGTAGACTCCAATCATACCCCCTGAATCTCACCTAATCTTTGGTGACACCAATATTTACTTCCTGTCTGACCTCACTTTGACATCCTGCGTTACCTCATCTTGACTTCTGGTGTTACCTCACCTTGACTTCCTTTTTTAGTGTCTCTGGCACCATGATGCAGATGACAAGCAGATCCAGGGTGCTTAAGGTGAGGGCGAGCAGAGCAGGGATACTGTGGGAAACATTTCCTGTGGTGGTGGAGGTGAGGGCAAAATATGCCCCCATCAGAGGCCCAACAGTGAAGCCCAGAGAAAAGGATACACCCACCATTGCCTGTTGAACATCAGCATTCATTAGAAATTACACCTACATTTGTCATGTCCATAAACTTTCATACCATTCCTCGGTTCCGAGCTTTTGGACACGGCAGATCAGCCACGATGGCAGTGCAGAGGCTGATGTTGCCTTTACAGATGCCACCAATAACCCGGAACAGAAGGAACATGCTGAAGCTCTGTGAGACCGCCCACACTGCATAAGATGCCATCAGCCCCACCTGCAACACATTCAGATGTTACACAAGTTACACGATTTTTATAATACACTATGTACAGTTTATATACAACCAATTTTGCAAATAATAATGTCTTCGTACATAAATATTAATATTTACTGCAGTATCACAAACTGACCACAGAAGGCAGCCAAAGACCAACAGCTTCTGTGTCCTTTTGAGCTAAAAGCAATTCCTTATGAATTCTGGTATAGAAGAGTGAGTAATTAAGTGCCACTAATTTGAATGCATGTCACTGATTAAGTATGTGTTTGTGATTTACCGTAGTTAAGATTAGCAGAGGACGCCGGCCATGTCGGTCTGAAAGAGCTCCAGTCACGGGTGAAGACAGAAACTGTAGCAGTGAAAACAGTGCCCCGATTAAACCTGCAAGGTCATACAATAACATTTGTCATTTACTGGTCATACGACACAATAATTACTTATTATTAATTGTTTAACCCTTATTGGGTCTAGGTGACTCGGCCGTGACCTAGACCCAATATGTATTTGTGTGTGTGTGTGTGTGTGTGTGTGTGTGCATGTTCCTGTATTGCATGACTTGTGCCAACTTTTCCTCATATGGTGAAAAACATTGCAAGGACAAACGGTGTGTACAACAATGCGAAGGACCGCACAAGGGTTAAGAAACTAAGAAACACACCTCCAAACATGACATTGTTGTATTTCTTCTCCAGAGGAATCCCAAGAGTCTCTTTGAAACAGTCAACTAGACTCTGCAGGGATTGATACACAACATCCTAGAACACACACACAAATCAATGTGATATCAAAATTCCATAGAGAAAAATGGGGATTTTAGCAGAAGGAGCATGGATACAACACTCTTTTTCACTTTTTCACAGCAGTTAGATGGAACTAAAGACGACTGTTGGATTAGAGGTGCAATGACCTTGAAAAACCTACCAGTCCAGTTGTTCTGGTTAATTGCTCTGTAAAAGATGACCTGGATGGCACTTACATAGAATTTACATAGACATATATATTTAGATTGTGTTCAAGTGTTTTCACCCACCAAAAGCCTGCTAGGATAGAAACCTCATACTGCAGAGTAAATGTTTGTATGTGCATGTGTGTTCTCACCCCTGTTTGAGCATGATGCTCCAAAATGGATGGTAATAGAGGAAGAATGAGTGTGAAGGCAAGAAGGTCGAGCAGCAGAACAACAAACACTGTCCTGATCACACGTGACGAAAATGAGACGTCCTCTCTGTTTACTTCAGCCATCTTCATACCTATGTCCACAGCACAATGTTCCCTTTACGCACATACATGTACATAGATACACAAATACCTGGGTCAGAAATGTGCAGATTAATACTCCTTTTAATGCTACTATGTTAGTACTACCAGTTAGTAAAATGTTCGGCTAGTCTTCAGTAGCACATAACCTTCTTGGGCTGTGTAGAACATGCTTTGTCAAATTTGTCTATTACATATTAACATTTTTTTTACATGTTAGGCCATTTGCAGTGTTGTGGAACCTCAGGTTTCAGCTCCAATAGGAATAAATTATCACAAAACTGACAAAACGATTGCAAAAAAAAAGAATAAATGCATAAAAAATACATTAGAAAAGGGAAAGAAGCCAAGTAAAACTGAAGGTTAAAAGACGAATGTCAGAAATAGTACCAATTAATTATGTGATAAGTAGGTTTTAATCCAGTTATAGCTAGATTTCAGCCAAGGATCTAGCTATAGATCCTTGGCTATCTATATTATTTACTTGAAACACTTCCCCCCAAAAAACATCGCTGTTTTTCTTTTTTTTTTTTTTTGTATGTTTTAAACTAAATTACTTGTTTATATGTCTGAAAGTCTGATTGAAAAACAATTAAATAACTAAACCACATCGTAATTCTAAACATAATAATAATTAAATAAAGTAAGCGTAAAATTGGATTTGAATTTAAAAGTACTTTTACTGACAATGTGACGTCCCAATAAATTATCGTGAACGTTTCGTTGATTTCACACATTAAAAAACGATTTTACGTTAAAAAAAACCTTACGCCATTCAATTGCTTATCTATTCATTCATAAAGTTACGTTACACAATGACGTCAGAGAAGAACGAGGAAACACTTCGTAGACAAAATTAAAAGCTATTAAATTCATCAATTAAAAAAACTTCTTTAACTTTTACTGAATCAAACGAGTCTCTACAAAAGTGAATCTTTGTTTTTATCTAAAACTCTGATCAGTTTTACATCTACCTTCGATCGAACGTCAATGATTTTTAATCGTTAAAAACTATAAGGTATACTCACAAACCTTAGACCAGGAAACAGCTGCAGCAGTGACACTGAATAGGGCCGTCTCTCTTCAGTTGTGTCAATAAAGTTTTATACAAACGCATGCGGAAGTTGTGTGATGCCTTCAGGAACACCAGAAAGGCTCGTTTTTAGAAACTTCACGATTTGTTGTGTTTCGATTACAGCGCGATTAAAAGGTTGACACATTCATTACAATACTCTTAATTATACTCGATTATAGGAAAGTTTCTACCATGAAACTTTTGTCTTGTTTTTTGATTATTCAAACAACAGCTTTCGAACCGAATAATTGTACAGTTTCAGTGCTATTTGTCAAGAATGTTCCATTTGCCAATATCTATTTATTATAGCCATCTAACTGATCTATTTATATCAGGTGTGTCAAACTCATTTTCATCGGGGGCATCAGCAGTACAGTTCCTGTTGAAGGGCTGGTTATAAATGAAAATTCAGATATGGGATCCCCAACCCCCGATCCGCAGACCAGTACCAGTCCATAGGTCATTCCCTAAGTGCTGGGCCGCAGTGGGACATAGTGAAAAAATTTACAAATTTTTACAACCTTACTTCATTCAAAGAAATGGATTATTGGTTGTTCGATTAAATGTATATCATATAGCAAACAAACACAGTGATATTTAAGAAGTGAAATGAAGTTTATAGGATTTACAGAAAGTGTACAATAATTACTTAAACAAAAGTAGGCAGGTGCATACATTTGGGCACCCTTGTTTTATTGATTTGAATACCTTTAGCACTAATTATTGGAACACAACATTTGTTTGGTAAGCTCATTGACCCTTGACCTACATACACAGGTGAAGCCAATCATGAGAAAGGGTATTTAAGGTGGCCAGTTGCAGGTTGTTCTCCCCTTTGCATCTTCTCTGAAGACTGGCAACATGGGAGCCTCAAAACAACAGTCAAATGACCTGAAAACAACGATTGTTCAACATCATGGTTTAGGGGAAGGATACAAAAAGCTAGCTCAGAGATTTCAGCTGTCAGTTTCCACTGTAACGAACATAGTGAGGAAATGGAACACCACAGGCACAGTTCTAGTTAAGGCCTGTAGTGGCAGGCCAAGAAAAATCTCAGATAAGCAGAGGCGAAGGATGGTGAGAACAGTCAAACTCAACCCACAGACCAGCTCCAAACATGATCTTGCTCCAGATGGGGTTTTTCTGTTGGGTTGCCCAAATGTATGCACCTGCCTACTTTTGTTTAAGTAATTATTGCACACTTTCTGTAAATCCTATAAACTTCATTTCACTTCTTAAATATCACTGGGTTTGTTTGCTATATGATATATATTTAATTGAAATTGCTGTTCCGAACAACCAATGATCCATAAAAGAAAATCCTGAAAATGATCAGGGGTGCCCAAACTTTTTCATACCACTGTATATATACTGTATATATATTACTTTCTTTAAGATAATCTGTAAATATTTTAAAATAATATGTCATTCAAACTCTGATACAAGAGTCTAAAAGATGTTTTACGTTGAAAATGTAATGATCCTTTAATGCTCAGCATCTTGGTACCAGTCTGTAGTAACAGCTGGTACGGGGGACCAATTCTTGGAACAAAAAATATTGGGGACCACTGGTATAGATGTTCCATAACAGACTAATACTTGTTTCTGCTATTGATTGTTATTTATTCAAGTACAAATATTGTTCATTGCTGTGTAATGCTGTGGACAGGTTATTTACAGGATAAAATTCTGTAAATAACCTGTCCACAGCATTACACAGCAATGAACAATATTTGTACTTGAATAAATAACAATCAATAGCAGAAACAAGTATTAGTCTGTTATGGAACATCTATACCAGTGATTCCCTTAGTTACATCTATGCCAGTGGTCCCCTTAGTTACATCAATACCAGTGGTTCCCTCTTTACATCTATATCAGTGGTTCCCTTAGTTACACCTATACCAGTGGTCCCCTCAGTTACATCTATACCTGTGGTCCCCTTAGTTACACCTATACCAGTGGTTCCCATAGTTACACCTATACCAGTGGTCCCCAATATTTTTTGTTCCAAGAATTGGTCCCCCGTACCAGCTGTTACTACAGACTGGTACCAAGATGCTGAGCATTAAAGGATCATTACATTTTCAACGTAAAACATCTTTTAGACTCTTGTATCAGAGTTTGTATGACATATTATTTTAAAATATTTACAGATTATCTTAAAGAAAGTAATATATATACAGTATATATATTACTTTCTTTAAGATAATCTGTAAATATTTTAAAATAATATGTCATACAAACTCTGATACAAGAGTCTAAAAGATGTTTTACGTTGAAAATGTAAGGATCATTACATTTTCAACGTAAAACATCTTTTAGACTCTTGTATCAGAGTTTGTATGACATATTATTTTAAAATATTTACAGATTATCTTAAAGAAAGTAATATATATACTGTATATATATTACTTTCTTTAAGATAATCTGTAAATATTTTAAAATAATATGTCATTCAAACTCTGATACAAGAGTCTAAAAGATGTTTTACGTTGAAAATGTAATGATCCTTACATTTTCAACGTAAAACATCTTTTAGACTCTTGTATCAGAGTTTGAATGACATATTATTTTAAAATATTTACAGATTATCTTAAAGAAAGTAATATATATACTGTATATATATTACTTTCTTTAAGATAATCTGTAAATATTTTAAAATAATATGTCATTCAAACTCTGATACAAGAGTCTAAAAGATGTTTTACGTTGAAAATGTAAGGATCATTACATTTTCAACGTAAAACATCTTTTAGACTCTTGTATCAGAGTTTGTATGACATATTATTTTAAAATATTTACAGATTATCTTAAAGAAAGTAATATATATACAGTATATATATTACTTTCTTTAAGATAATCTGTAAATATTTTAAAATAATATGTCATACAAACTCTGATACAAGAGTCTAAAAGATGTTTTACGTTGAAAATGTAATGATCCTTTAATGCTCAGCATCTTGGTACCAGTCTGTAGTAACAGCTGGTACGGGGGACCAATTCTTGGAACAAAAAATATTGGGGACCACTGGTATAGATGTAACCAAGGGAACCACTGGTATAGGTGTAACTAAGGGAACAACCACTGATATAGATGTAAAGAGGGAACCACTGGTATAGATGTTCCATAACAGACTAATACTTGTTTCTGCTATTGATTGTTATTTATTCAAGTACAAATATTGTTCATTGCTGTGTAATGCTGTGGACAGGTTATTTACAGAATTTTATCCTGTAAATAACCTGTCTACAGTTGGGTTTCATTCATCATTGATGACATTTCTTGGTTTTCAAAACATTGTTTAATTAATAGACAGTTTGAATGCCAGTATATGAGATGTTAATAACAGATAACAGTATGTCATATGATAATAAATAAGTATCTTATCCATATTTTTAATGGAATAATGGCTCTCCCCATTTCCCTCCACTTACAAACACAAATTAATTTGTTTTAATTATTGAGGAAAGGTAGGTAGATTAATAACTTTTGATCCGACTTCCAAGTGTCTTTTGTACTGCTAGAGATCCAGCAGCTTGCAGTTGTTCTCTTTTGGTTACTGGTTCACTACTGTCTTTACTCGTGTATTTGTTAATTTGTTTATTTTTGAATATGGCTTGTAATTTCATATAACTCAAGCTTTACATTCTTATTCACAGCTATCGCTGTGATTGTTTGAAATTGCCTTTTCTGTTTGCTGGTGTGCCTAACACTGTACCTAGCCGAACTATTTCAACAATTTGCTGTAAGCTGGTTTTTGCTGACAATAATATTGTAACAATGTTATCAAATAATATTACTGTATTTTCCGCACTACAAGGCGCACTTAAAAGCCTTTAATTTTTTCAAAAATCGACAGTGCGCCTTGTAACCCAAATCCGAGCAACGTCGCACCGTGCCTCCAAACACCCGGAGACTCCGAGTTGTGTTTTTGTATTGTCGATGTTTGGTGCGATGCAGGACCACTCAGACACATGGCTGTCGATATTTTCGTTGTCAAAAACTCTTTATTTCTCCTTTTTTATCGGTACAGGCAAAACACACTCTCTGCAAAATAAAATCCGCACGGAACAGCGTCAAAACAACAATACGGTGACCATTCAGAACAAAAATACTGACAACCGCCGACTCTGGAGGGGCGAACAACAACAACAGCGTCCTCCAGGGTCTAACTTAAGTCACTACCCCTTTCCACAAATCTCCGTCCCTATTGATCTCCGACGATCGCTGTTTTGTTTCGCTTAATTCGCCTTGTAACCCGGTGCGCGTTGTGTATGGAAATAGACCCGTTAATTGATATCGCGCCTTATAATGCGGTGCACCTTATGGTCCGAAAAATACGGTACTAATCAAGCCTAGTGTCCAATACTGACCTCTAATGCATTATATATAAGCCTCTTTGTTTAACCTTCCTCTGGTGTTCGGGTCGGCACCGACCCGTTTCCAAGTTTTAAATGCATTAAAAAACACGTAAATTAGTTTATTGCGTCAAGGCTTTTTGACTTTGTCAAGAACCTCTATTTCAACAAAATAAAACAAAAAAATTTTTTTCACTAAATTATAAAATGCTCTGGTTGAAATTATGACCTTTGTGTTGTTCGGGTCGGTTTCGACCCGGTTATAAAAGTCGTATTATAAAGCAATAATTAGAACCAAAACTTAAATCCTAAGTGCACTGTCAGCCAAAACACTGACAGACAGCTCCTCTCCCAAACATGTGAGCTTTAGGGGATGCTCATTTTGCCTTGTTTTCCAGTATTCCTGCACAAAAACAAAACAAATACCTCATGATGAACATGGCAGGGCAGCTGCTGCAAATGTCATCAAAATGACCCCTGGAATCACAAGGTTTGCTGTGACAAGAGTCAGTGACATCAAGACATGTTTTGAGCTATTTATGCCATTGTCACTAAAAAGAG